CGTTCATGCTTGTACTAAACATCCTATTGTCAATTTTGTGTCCTATAAAACATTATCTCCATCCTATCAAGCATTTGTTTCTTCCCTTGATAGTGTACAAATTCCTCACACAATTCAAGAAGCACTGATTGATCCGAGTTGGAAAAATGCTGTACAAGATGAAATGAATGCTTTGGTGAAGAATGGGACTTGGCACATAATGAATTTACCATCTGGAAAGAGACCAGTGGGATGTAAATGGGTATTCACCATTAAACATAAAGCGGATGGTAGCATTAAGAGATTTAAAGCTCGCCTTGTCGCTAAGGGATTCACCCAGTCTTACGGGATTGATTGACTTTTGCTCCAGTTGCTAAGCTCAATACGATTCGTGTTCTACTATCTGTTGCTGCAAATAGAGACTAGCCGTTGAACCAACTAGATGTGAATAATGCTTTCCTAAATGGTGACCTGGAAGAAGAAGTGTACATGGATATTCCACCCGGCTTTGAGAATTCATCCAACCGAAACAAAGAATGCAGACTGAAGAAATCTCTATATGGCCTTAAGCAATCTCCACGAGCATGATATGGAAAATTCACTAAATCAATCATTAAAAATGGTTATATTCAGTGTCAGGCAGATCACACCTTGTTTGTGAAGCACTCACAAGATCAAAGGATAGCTGTATTGATAGTTTATGTTGATGATATAATACTTACAAGTGATTTCAAGGAAGAACTGATAAACTTGAAAAGTTTCTTATCAAGGGAATTTGAGATAAAAGATCTCGGTTATCTTAAATATTTTCTTGGCATGGAATTTGCACATCAAGACATGGCATTTTTGTTTCTCAAAGAAAGTATGTTCTAGACTTGCTCAAGGAAACATGAATGCTCGGGTGTAAACCAGCCTCAACTCCAATGGATTCTAACAAAAAGATTGACTCAGATACGGGCAGTGGACAGGGGGAGATATCAAAGGCTAGTGGGACGACTTATATATTTATCTCACACTAGACCTGATATTGGTTTCCCTGTAAGTGTAGTAAGCCATAAGTGTAGTAAGCCAATACATGAATAATCCAACTGAGGAACACATGGAAACTGTTACAAGAATCCTTAGATACTCTAGAAGTTCAGCTGAAGCAGAATTTAGAGCTCTAGCTCTTGGCATATGTGAAGGGATGTGGCTGAAAAGATTACTTGGCGAGCTAGGAGTATTTAAAGAAGGGTCTATACAAATGCTTTGTGATAATCAGGTTGCTATTAGCATTGCCAAAAATCCGGTCCATCATGACAAAACTAAGCATATTGACATAGACAGACGCTGTTGAGAAAATAGAGTACTCCATTATTCAAACCTGTTATGTCCCATCAAAATTTCAAACTACTGACATTCTTACAAAAGTCATTATCTTAACCGCAAGGAGGGGGATGCCGAAGGCAGGGTTAGTGACTGGAGTGAAGTCGTAACAAGGTAGCCATACTGGAAGGTGCGGCTGGATCACCTCCTTTTCAGGGAGAGCTAATGCTTGTTGAGTATTTTGGTTTGACACCGAACGGTGAAGTCAGACCAAGCTCATGAGCTTATTAACCTAGGTCGGAACTAGTTTAAAGGATTCTCTAGGCCCTCATGTCCCCTCCCTCGTGTGGCGACATAGGGGTTAAAAATAAAAATAAATAAAAACATGGATGGGGTTTCTCTGGCTTTTATAATAATGAGCCTCCAGTGGGAGGCTCGCACGATGATGGGATATGGGCTATTAGCTCAGTGGTAGAGCGCGCCCCCCTGATAATTGCGTCGTTGTGCCTGGACTGTGAATTTCAAACTGCTGACATTCTTACAAAAGCTTTACCGAGAATTGTTTTTGAAGAATTAATTAGCAAGCTTGGGATGTTTTACATTCACAACCCAGCTCGAGGGGGAGTGTGGATTTATTTCTTGATCTAGAGAATAACTACTGTTGTACTTTAGATCTGATTTTGTATTAATTACCAGTAATTATTCTTTCTAGAAATAGGATATTCTATTATTTAGATTAATAGATTGTATATTTAATGCCTTAGATTCTCTCCTCAATAGGCTGTATATATATCCTATCATTTTGAGATTATAATATATCATAAATATTCAGAAATTTCACAGTAAGTTGTTACTTGGAAGTTGAAGAGAGATTGATGAAGACCCATTAGATTTTCGAAGACTACACATACATATTAGGAAGTGGATGGAACTGAGAACTAGGGTTATTTGATTGGTGTGTTTAGTATTGAGTGTGGGAAACATATGAGGGAAAAAACTAAAAAAATTCCAAGCTTCAAACATGGTACTTTAAAAATTCATCCCAAACAAGGTGAAATAACATAAACTTTGATTCAAAAAAGGCATATGCTGTTAAGGACCCTCGTATAGTCGTATACGACCTTGTCCAAGGCCTCATTCGAGATCTCAGAAGAGAAGAGGAGCCAACTGAGACCTCCGAATCAATATTGTTAGTTTCAGATTATTGGAGTGATGAAAAATAAATATGTAAGAGTCTTAAGGTGGAATTTCAGATTATTGGAGTGATGAAAAATAAATATGTAAGAGTCTTAAGGTGGAATTAATCAGTGCCCGACCTAGTCAAGACACATCAAAATTAATTCTTCCCAAAAGTGCTTTATTAAACAATACTAGTCCCTTTAAATAGAGATTACAAGAGTCCTAATAGGAAGCATAAGAATAATAGAAAGTTTCCTAACTGAATTAGGAAATAACTTTGAGTCTGAAATAACTAGAATCTAATTAATTAAATGCTGCCAGCTTTCCTAATTGAATTAGGAAATACTATGAATTGGAAATACTAGGATCTAATTAATTAAATGCTGCCAACTTTCCTTAACACCCTGATCAGCCATGTAAAACACTTTGATCTTTCTCGATTGGCCCCACTATATTTTCTAAATCTTCTCGGCCACGCCTTCGTTGATATACTTCTCCATAGAATGGATCCATAACATATGCCTTCTGTGCCTAGTGCCTCTAGGCTTCACTAAATTGGAGGTGTCAGCCAGTCAGCCCCTGTGCCTTGGCACCTCAGCACCTCAGAAGCTCACACCTCAAACGCCTTTTAAAACCATGGCCATATGAGGCATAAGCCTCAACTCATAAAAGAAATCTCTATGGAGTATAAAAGTATTATAGATAATATTAAAAATCAATTTAATCAATAATTAAAGTTCAACAAATTTGTTGGCAAAATGAACAGTAATAGGGTGATGACCCCATCAAAATATTATTAAGAGAAATTTCCCTAAATAGGAGTAAAAACGTTTGTAAATTCCCAAATAACACTACTATGTTTTTACTCCTATTTTGGAATTCCAAAACGTTTTCAGGGATTTTCCCTGACTTTTTTCATTCTTCAATCTAATAAACTTTAAGCTCTAATGATGGAGCAGGCAATATTTGCTATTACGTGGTGTTTAATAAAAAATCGTCAATATCTAGTGGTTTGGAATAGGGATCAACACCCAACATCAAATCCACCATCAACATTACCATAACTACCATCCCCATTACCATATCATCACCACCACTACCATTACTATCCCTCTCACCATCACCATCGACATCCACATCCATCCATTATTTACAGTAAAAAGAGAAAGAAAATATAGCAGGAAAAAGACACCTTGCACAAAAGGAGAGGTCTCATTATCACATCACGGTGATGTGTGTATAATAACATCAAACAAAATGAACGGGGTAAATAAATAAATACTCCCTCCGCCCAACACAACAAAACTCGATGATGGTCATGTTTGACCTATGGTATTTTTGAACACGGAATTATTTAAAATATTAAAGGTATATAAAAATTCTTGTTATAAAACTTCCATAAGAGTAAAATTTATAAATTTCACACAAATATAATAACTAAAATCGTTGTCTAAAGTTTATCATCATTGATCAAGAAAAGTCATAGCCAATATGCCGAAGTTTTGTAGGACGGAGGGAGTAAAAGAATAGTGAATACCTTGAAGATGAGAGTTAGAGAAAAGAGAATGAAGAGTGAAGAGGAGAAATAGGAGACATGCTGAAAAATTGGTTTTTGAAGAGAGGGTAACGGGCCGGCTCACTGCTTAGCGGGCCATTATATCGAGTCGGCCCAAGTTATGTTGTTTGATCGGGTTTCTACCTTGCCCCAGGATGTTAGGAGGAGCTATTATGCGGATTTATTTGGTTTTCCTAATCTCCGTTTTTAATTATTTTATATTTTTGGGTCAGGTCTAGCCCCCCCAAAAAATATTTTCGTTTACTCTATTATTATTATTATTCATGTTTTTATCTGATGAGAGGTTTTTGGTCTGGTCCTCCTCTCTTTTGTATCACTCTCTAAATTAATAAAATAATGGTAAATGTCCCCCAACATTTGCCCCACTGATTTTGGTGGTTGACCTTCCGGGGTAAAAAAAATTGGTTTTTGAAGAAGATAAATGAAGACACGGAGCGGTTTTAGAAGAAAAGACTTTTGTTTGTAAAGTTTGCAGTGTTCACAACTTATTTAATTAAAATCAGAAGATGCAAATGCAATCCTGCCTCATTGTGTACTCCTTGCCTCGACCCAAAAAGACATAAGCCTCAACATTGCCTGGGATTCACCTTAGTGCATATTAGCCCCAAAAATCGTTGAGGCAGGCCTCAAGGCGTAAAAGTATTGTACAATTTATGAACATTGTCAAGAGCAAGTGCTTCTATTTTTTCTTAGTTAATCAGGGCCTTTAGTTGTTCTTGTTCCAACCCCGTCCTTCTTGGTTTGAATTTTAAGAGTGATGATTGTTTTTCTAATGTAACTAGTGAGAGTTGGGTATTCAAGTAATCAAGCCTTGCTTTATTCTGTTTCTGTTGGTTAATTATGTCTTCTTTGCAATATCAGTACATATTTGGCTCTATCAATGTGAGGTCTTGTTTTTATTTTACTGTTATATTTACCCAACTTGATTGATTTATCCAATTAGTTGGTGGCTTACTTGTAGGCAGGAGAGCTATTTTGCGTACCTGTTTGGAGTAAAAGAGCCTGGGTTCTATGGAGCTATTGTAAGCTCAGTGTACTAAACTTTATTTATTTTTCTCTTAAAATCAATTCACTGTCTCTTTAAAAGAACTTAATTTTTTTAGAGGATTACCTTTGGCCAGTCATTTCTCTCAATTTGCAAATCCTCTTAGTACAAATTAGCACAAATCTTAGTTACTGTCACCTATGAATATCTAATTACTTTAACCTACTATCTATTGACTCCTAATCCTAACTTGACCTGCCTACCACACCACAACTTATCTGTTTCACGCTCTAACCTTTTCATTCTACAAAGTATTAGGACCTTCAGTATTTTCTTTCCAATTGATGATTGCATTTGTAGATTCATTTTTTTGCTAGATGTTGAAACCCTAGTTATAGTGGGCTTAACCCAACTTGTATAGAAACCATAGTGCCTCAGTTATAACTATAAATATACCCACTTGTATAGAGCTATCAATTATCAAATTTCATATTAATAAGGGAAAATGGAAACTAATAATCCAACCTTTTAGCGGTCTTCTTACAATAGTCTCACCTTTTGATTATTCATGAATAATCCAACCTTTGCACCTCATCTTCATTCACTGGTCCCTGACCGGTTCATGACCTGCTGTTCCAAGTTATTTTCTTATCTTTGCAAAATATTATCTTTGTGAAAGGTGAGATTTATGGTATAATGGTTTGCAAAGATAAGAAAATAACTTGGAATAACAGGTCATGAACCGGTCAGGGACCAGTGAATGAAGATGAGGTGCAAAGGTTGTATTATTCATGTATAATCAAAAGGTGGGACTATTGTAAGAAGATCGCTAAAAGGTTGGATTATTAGTTTCTATTTTCCCTATTAATAAAAGGAAAATTGATAATAATAATCCCAACTACTGGCGGCCAACTTATAATAATCCCAACTATGGATCATTTTAGAATAATCCCAACTTTAGGGACCTTCCGCCAATAATGGTCAGACATGACCGCCTACTTGTTCAGTAAATTAAAAAAAGTATCAGATTATAATAATCCGAACTATCATCTGTCGACTTCTATTGGACCCAAAATAAAATTTCCATAAATAAATAGAAATAGTAAAAAAGATTTAATAAAAATATTTTTACTTGCTCCTCTGGCTAGGATGTCACTGAAAGGTATGGATTTGATTGAATAGTTTACTCAGCCCCTTGTGGTTAGACGCCCATGAGTTTTCTTGCTCACTGAATTAACCTTTTTAGATACTTTATGGAACTAAAGAATATAAAATATATATATTTATAGAAACATGGGAAAAATTATATAAATTTCAAAATTAACATTTCATAACATGTAAGATATTGTAAATATATAACAAATATAAATGCATAAAGGAGAGTAAAAAGGTCAATACAAAAACCTTTAAGGAAAATAAAATTGAAATTAAGTACAAATTCAAATTAAAAAATGAAAACCTTGACTTTCAAATTAAGAAAGTGAAAAATATAATATACCAATACATTTTTTCAAAATATTAAATAATTTAAAAGCTAATCATTCTAAAATACTAAATCATTTTAAATTAGTTAAAAAGAAAAATATTCATGAATTTTTAAAAGAATCCAAAAACGACTATATATCAAAAAATAAAAACATTTTTTTTCTGATAATAAAAATAAAAAGTAGAATGTAACATTTTTTATTTCTAAAAATATTTACACACCTAATGAAAATTTACACTTATACGCGTAGTTTCTCTCTCTCTAGGGTTGCTTTAAGGCAACGCTTAGTTCTTCGTTCATCGACATTGTCGAGGGGCGAGAGGATGGGATTGTCCGGCCGATTGTGGATATCAATTCGGTTTTCGAGGCTTCGGCGCTGGGAGGACTTTCATTCTCAAGGGAGTCGGCTCGAAGGATTAATCCGGCGTTAGGGTTGAAGGCGGCTTTGCGGAGTCAAGCGATGGCTATTTCGTGGAGGCGGAACTGCTAGGGTGCGGCGGCGAACCAGGGTGCTGTGAATGGAGAGTTTTGTAGACAAATACAAAAAAATGGCGATTGGGGCAGAGGAAGAAGATCTGGACCTTGATGATTTCGAAGCTGAGGAAGTTCCGATTGAGGAAAGCAAGCTGGGATTTTTGGTGGTCGGGGTGCTATTGACTAACAAGAAGGTCAGATTTCCAGCCCTCAAAGAGCTTATGTCCTCACGATGGAGGCTGGGGAAAGGAATGCCGATCAAAGAAGTTGGTGAAAAAAGGTACCTATTTACTTTCTATCATCGTGTTGATATGATTCGTGTGCTTGAAGGAGGTCCATGTCAGTTTGAGCGTAATCTGTTGTTGAAAGAAGTTAAACCTGATGATATTCCGCATAAGATTGTTTTAAATGAGGCTGATTTTTGGGTTCAAATCCATAATGTTCCCTATAGCATAGTTAATTTAGGTACTGCAAGGTGGGTTGGAAATTTTATTGGAAAGTTTATAAAATATGATGATAATCAGAAAAGTGAGAAGTGGAATCTTATATGAGAATCAGGGTGTCCATGAACATTGATAAATCTTTGAAAAAGGGAATGAACCTGAAAAAAGAAGGAAAAAGTTTTTGGGTGGATTTCAAGTATGAGAAATTGCCCAATTTCTGTTTTATATGCGGCTTAATTGGGCATTCAGATAAGTTGTGTCCATTGAACTATGAAGAAGATCTAGTGCTCGAAAAAAAATTTGGGGTCCATCTTAAGGCAGGGAGCAAGGTGAAGACTAGCCTTACCAGAGGTGGCAAGTGGCTACCGGAGGGTTCATCGAGTTCTGGCAGAGAACGCAGGTATGTGGGGGATAATAAGTCTGACGGCAGGATGGGTGAAGGGGGGAAAGAGTCTATATTAGAATCAGCGCAAAGTATAACCAAAGGCGTGAGAGAGGAAATGAAGGAGGAGACATCGAGGGAGCAAAAAGAGAAGAAAGATTTGGGAGGCACAAAGAGAAGACAAGATTGGGGAAGATTTTTTTTTTTGGGGGGGGGGGGGCTAGGAAACACCCTACCTATTTATTAAAAAAGATGGAACAACATACATTGAGTAGGAGGACTAGACCAATGCCTACTCAGGATCAAACTTGGGGAAGATAACACGACTTTGGATGGGACAAATAACGGGGAAGGGACGGGCTTCGTTCAATAAGCCCGCCGAAATTGTTACAGTTAGAATGGATGAAGAATGTTAGGGTACTCGTGAGGCTCAAGTTTATTTGCTTTATTTTTTTCTTTAGTGACAATTTATTTTGTTGTGTGGTTTTTTTCGTTATTGTTGTTCCTATTTGTAAGACGTTGGATTTGGATGTGGGTGATGGGAGGATTGCCGTAACCGTCTTTGGCTCATTTGTGCTCATTAATGGATCGGCGAATTGTATTGGAAAGAATGGCAAAAATAGGATTATCAGCTTTTAAGTGGGCAAAAATAAGACCACTTTTCGTACTAGACAAATAAGGGATTAAAATGTCGTGAAATGCCCAAATTGCCCAGGTCTTACGCATAGCATCATCGCGGCATCCCAGGCTCCCAGCAAACTTCGTCCCTGCGCGAAGTCATCTTCTTCGCACAACCAAGAGCCGCCGCCTTCGCTCTTCTTCGCGTAACCAAGAGCCGCCGCCTTCGCTCTTCTTCGTACAACCAAGAGCCGCCGCCGCCTTCGATCTTCTTCGCCTCTTCTTTGCCGGATTTCCGTAGTCATTCACTTCAGATCGGCGATGGTGGTGCAACATGGTTCAACTACCAGATCTGAAGCCTAGGGTTTCCAATCGAGCGGGGTAGCGGTGGCGAGATATGATTGTAAGCAGCAGCTAGGGTTAACGGGAGCAGGGGATGGGGTTACGACGGGTCTGGGGCAGGGGAGATGATTGGGATGGGCTAGGGGCCGATGTGGTGCAGCTGGTGGTCGGATCAGGTTCTGGGGGCGACGAATGATGGTACGATGCATCGATTGTACGAACGGGGCCTGGTGAAGGGGTGGGGGTAGCGATTGAGAGGGCTGAGCAGGTGTGGTGGCGGCTGGGGTAGCAGGGGCCGACAATGGGTTGGGGACTGGGGTAGAGTGGAAAAGAGGTTGGTGTTGGTGTAGGGGAGGGGCTGGGGGTGGCGGCCAGCGGTGGTGGATGGTGGTGGTTTCCGGCGATAGCAGTGGGTTGGGGGTCGGGGCTAGGGTAGGGCCGGTAGGTTGGACCACTGTAGGGGGGTTGGGGTACACCGGAAGTGAGGTTGGTGTTGGCGTAGGAGAGGGGCTGCGTTGGCAGCTAGCGGTGGCGGCCGGCGGTGGCCAGCGGTGGTTTATGGGTAATTGGACGGGTTGTAAGTGGATGCATTGGTAATTGTAACTGGACGGGTGCCAATTAGTCATTGACCGTGGCAGTGGGATACTGGTGGCATGGGATGGGTGCGAATTGGTCACTAGCCGTGGCGATGTGGTATTGGTCACTGGCCGGTGTTGGTCGGGAGTAATTGTAACTGCTCGACGGTGATCACAAGGCGATTTGCCACCGCCCAAAATTGTCAAGAATCACTGTATGAATTGGACACTGTAACTATCGGAGGCGGTCACTGTAACTGTCGGCGGCGGTCACTGTAACTGTCGGCGGCGATCACTGTAACTGTCGGCGGCAGTCACTGTAACTGTTGGCGGCGGCGGTCACTGTAACTGTCGGCGGCGGCGGTCACTGTAACTGTCGGCGGCGGCGGTCACTGTAACTGTCGGCGGCGGTGGTCACTGTAATTGTTGCCGGTGGTGGTCACTGTAATTGTTGCCGGTGGTGGTCACTGTCACTATCGTCGACGGTTGTCACTAGGGCGATCTTGAGCGATAGCAACTGGGACGATTTTCAGACTTATTTTTATTTAATAATTTAAACGATTAAGTTCCATGTGTTTACATCCAAATATGTATTATTGGAAATAATACTAAAATAGAAAGAAGAATTAATTGTTTTTTGAAGGCAAGCAGAATTAATTGTTAAAGAATGAAATGTCAGGTAGTGCATTTAACGTTATGCGCTATTATCTCGGCGCGATGCGGTGCTCTAAAGAAGGGTAATTTAGACAGTTAGGTGTTAATTTGTCACATTCCTGGAAATTTAGAAAAAAGGTCTCTTTTTTGTCCATTCTCTACTTTTTAGTATTATTCATGACAAAACCCCATTATATTGCTTCTTTGAAGGTGATTAATTCCGAGTCTGGTTCGCAGGACGGCGGTTGTCAGGAATCTTTTTGTCGGATTACCCACTTTCTGAATGATGTGTTATCAATTTAAGCCTATTTTTTCCAAAAAAAACATTTTTTATTTCTAAAATGCAATACATTTATATATTTAGTTAAATTTCATTTATAAAATTCAAAATTTAAATAAATATTTCTACATTTTGTAAAACTAGTTGAGTTGATAGTTGGGATTAATAAAAGAAAAGAATGAGCATAGTTCAGATTATTTATAGAATACCCTTAGTTTCTGCTTAAACTTTGACCTCCTATAGTCAGGTAATAAGCGGTCATGGACCATTATTGTCGGACGGTTCATATAGTTGGGATTATATAAAAATAATCAATAGTTGAGATTATTGTTAGCGGACCGGCAATCAGTTTATATTGCTCACATGGTAACAAGCTTGGTGCATATGATCTATTTGCTCCAGCTTTAGGGGAGTGCTGAAACCCTAGTTATAGTGGGCTTAGCCCAGCATGTATAGAAACCTTAGTGCCTCATTTTAGCAATAAATGTACCCACTTGTATAGAGGTATGAGTTATCAAGTTTCATATTAATAAAAAATTGTTAACACTAGACAAAAAGTAGATATGTTTTTTAGAATGATAAATTCCTTCAGATAATGGTGATGCAGTCACCATGTAGGCATTTCCACAAATCTTTGGCTGCATAGACCATAGAAATCGACCTTGATATTTTTTATTTGCACAAGGATGTAGCAAGTGGGGAGTCAATGCTATTTGCTCCCAGATTACCAGATTCTTATGCAGTTTGGCTGGGAGAAATAAAGCCTGTATCCTATTTCAAGGTAATTTTTCCTTGGTTTTGTACGGAGTATACTTATTATAGTAGCTTGGCAGTGAATTTGAGCCCATTAACTAGTTTATTACTTGTTTTCAGGAAATATATAGGGTTAACAAGGTCCTTTATACAGATGAGATTGTCCATGTTTTGTTTGATCTCTATAAAGGAAAGGGCGATCCCTTGTTGTTCCTTCTACATGGGCTCAACACCGACAGTGAAAAGTTCTCCAAACCCGCAGAATTCCAGGTTCCAACCCATCTATTGTATTTTATTTCTTGGTCTGTCACTGATTTAAAATACTTTATAGTCATTTTTTCTCATCAACAAGAATCAAAGGCATTGACAATGTGTTGTTACCATTGTGATAAACTGATATGTAACATAATGAATGGCGGAAATACAAGTAATCTAGGGACTTGTGAACCATAGTATGGAACTATGCTATCTGGATGGTTGTACTTGCTCCTATTTAGGAAAATAAAACAAAGTACTCCTATTCAGGGAAACAACTTTATTTTTCTCCTCTTTAGGGCAATACCCTTTTATTATGAATTCAAATACTACGTAGTACTCCCCCCGTCCCTTGAAACTTTGCCAAGTTTGAACGACACTGGGATTAATAAAGTAAAAACCGTGTGGTTGAGGTTTGTGCAGAGGAGAGAGAATTAACTGGAACTACAAATTCTTTACTTAAAGGGAAAGTGGCAAAATTAGTGGGGCATCATAAAAGGAAAGTTGTCAAAGTTTTAAGGGACGGAGGGAGTATTAATTAATCATTTTATAATATTTTGGTATAGAAATAATTCATACTACCTCCGTTCTTGAATAAATGCAACAATCAATTTTTCACGTTTGCCAATGCACAACTCTGACTATTAGTATATTTAATTTTCTTTTAGTAAAAAATTTAAAAATACAGATTTTGAAAATTTAGGATGAAACAAATTTAAAAATATATTTTCAAAAATAAATTATTAATACATTAACAAATAAAGCGTAGTCAAAGTAGAACATGTGAATAGTGTAAAATTTTACATGTTGCATTTATTTAAGAACGGAGGTAGTATGTATTAAGTGTTACTACCTTTGTCCCGCTAAGATTGAGACAAGAAAGAGTGGTGCGATCTTAAAAAATAGAGTATGTGGTTGATAAAGTTTGAATGAAGTACAAATGAATTATAACCACACAAATATTATCAAATATGATATCAAATATGATATGAGATGGAAAAAAAGGAAAAATGGGATAATCATAGTGAGACAGAGGGATTGTGTTTTTGTAGTAAAGTCATAAACAATATTAAAGGTACGTGTTTTTAGTCAATTTAAAGGTTAAACATTTATTCTAAAAATATTAACATAATTTTACTAGATATAAAATACTTATTGACCAAACTATGTCTTTCGGGTTGGGCAACGAAAATAAATTGATTTGAACTGAACCCATTGTTCGAGCCCGCCTAGGGATCCGCCTTAGATCCCACTCAACCCCAATTAAGCGCCAGCCTAGGCAACCTGATTGGGCTGGTTGATCAATTTTTCCAACTGTCTAGGATGAAATCGGGACTCTCAACCACCGCCTAGGTGGGCCCGTAGTCCAATTGTTAGATCAATGGTTAACTGAGTTCATATCCCAATCTATGTCAATCATGTCATTAACCATCAAGTCTAATCAAATTTTTTAGCAACAATTTAAATTAAATAATTTAAATAGAAAAAATCAGGGGTTACGACTCTGGTAAAACAACAGAAGTGCGTCGTTTCCTCCTCCAAGGTCGCGGACCAGAGTTTGGAAGAAATCGCTGGAAATTCGAGTGGCTTGCATCGTTTGGAACTTCAGATCTCATGCGTCTTTTGGCATGCCGGAACGAGTATCGGATGATCTGGAGTCAGCGAACCAACATCCTGCAACTCGCGAACTACCTATTGGCAGTCGCGTTCCCCGGTCGCGAACCAGACGCGAACAGTACGCTATCGTACCGCGTTCTGGTACGGACGATCCGGAACGGGAATCGTGGCTTGCCCAGCGATTTCTGTAACTATGGGTGAGATGTTCGTAAAGTGCGGACCTACTTCTATTGACAGGGTATAGGCTGCCTCGAGTGAGACTTACAATTAGTTAAAGATATTGTGTGCAATGTGGTAAGCAAGCAAACAAGAAGACTACACACAACGTACATAAAGCATTAAAAGAGAAGTATTAAACTATTAATGACAATTGATAGTATTTTCCAAGAACTTTTGCATGAGATCATTTTTGGTATCATGTTTGTCCCAAGTTAGGATAAAGGAAGAGGGTGTTGTGGTATGCGCATGACGGCCAACAGTATCACTTAGTCACACCGCATGACATGAATCGAAATATGAATATTATTACTACAACTAAGTCGTCACTTGTGTGGTGATAAGAATGTTAAGGTTGCTAAGTTGTCGCTCGAAAGTAACACGCCACTTCAATGCCAGGGGATGGTGTCAAATATGCAAGGGCATGCAAGGGTTAATGTGGTGCGAAGAATAAAAGGTAGGGTGCTAGATTGCACTCTGGGACGTGGAATATTGACTCTCTTATGGAAGATCATCTGGGGTAGTCGAGGTTATGCGGAGTAATATCAGCATTATGTGTGTTCAAGAAACTAAGTGGGTTGAACAAAAGGCACGTCAGATTAATCCCAGAGTTTTAAGTAGAGGTAATCGCGGAGAGAGAAATGGAGTATGCAATATTGTGAAGCGTGATTATGTTGAGGGTGTGGTGGAATTCTTTAGAAGGGTTTTTTACAAGAATATTACTAAAATAAAACTTATTTACATAAATATGACTATTCATTACTACAACGTAGTGTTGTGGTAACTTAAGTTCAAAACTTGAACATGAATTACTATGATTTCATTACTACTCTAGTAACTAACCATATTTTTGTAAATCATATTCATTTTGGTCATATTTAGGTTATTATTTCTCTTTAGAAAGAACGTCCGAATTATGAACATTAAATTGGCAATAAGAGATGAGATCATGTCTGAGGTAAGTGCCTATGCACCACAAGTGGGATTGGATGCATCTATCACTGAACAATTTCGGGAAGATCGTGAGGAAGTGGTGCGATGAGTGCCAAGAGGAGAGAAACTTATCATAGGTGGCGACCTCAACGGGTATGTGGGCCCAATTCGTGATGGTTTTGAGAGTATCCATGGCTATAACGAAAATTTGGTTCAACAAAAGAGACTCTCACCTTGTGACCTGTATAAGTGGAACTAATAGTATCCAAATTGACCACTTTTTGGTATGGTGATTTGGTGAACTAGCTACAATGATTGTAAAGTCATCCCATGCGAGAGTGTTGTCACTCTGCATAGATGGGTTAAGTAACATGTGGAGCTAAAGATAAAGCGGTGGAGGCTCGAGGGGATCTCTAACAAAGTTTTGCACACAAAATGTTGGAAGATGTATAGTGTATTGATAATGACACACATGCGGATGATGTGTGGGTATCATTGGAGTCGACCATTAATGAAGTGGCGCAAGAGATACTAGGGGTGGGCAAAATTCCCGGTCCCGGTGTCCCAAACTGAAAAATCCCGATACTGTTCCGAAACTATCCCGATCCATTTAGCACGCAATTTTTTATCCCGAACCGGTCCCGCACCGATATTAACCGGGACGGGACCGGGATAACTATAAATATCATGTCCCGTCCTGGTGTCCCGTTTGAAATTAATATGTTATTTTAAATTTCTAATGCTATGTAATAGTCAAGCCTAATTAAAAGCTTCTAGTCCTTGGTCTCCCTAGTGTAATTTTATCTTATTTCATGTCTCTCTTAATCTCATTTCTTTTGTTTCTTTTGATTAAAATTTGTTTAGTTCTCATTCCAATACTAATACATAATATATTATTACATGTAGAATACTATTTATGATGGAATAACTACTACAAATTATAGTGTTGTTATAGATTTAATATTTTCCAAAATAACTACTAGAAAATGTATATATAGTGTATTTATAGATATGATATTTAATTTAATGTGGTATTAAAAAAATTACAAGTGTACTACAAAGTATAAAAATATTTTGCGCTACTATTCTACTAGAGGAAACACAAGATTAGGGGGGCCAAAAAAATTTACAAGACCAAAGCTAAAAATAGTTAATTAAAGGTTTTACTTAACTTTTTAGGGAAGCAAAATTTGCAAAAATAGTTACGTCTTTTTTTTTATGTTATGCTTATTTTTATATCACATTTCACAAATGCATATTTTATGGGACATCCCAAACCGTCCTGGTTTTTCTCGGGTTGTCCCGGTCCTGTTTTAAATAGGACAACATTGGGATATAGACTTATCCCGTATCGTACCGGACCGTTGTTATAAAACCGGGACGGGATCGGAATAAAGCCAAATCCCGGACCGTCCCGGACCGTGCCCACCCCTAATAGATACTCAGAGAAACTAAAGGATGTTTGCCACAAAAAAAAGACATGCCTTGATGGAATGATGAGGTGAAACAAACAATAAGTACCAAAACGGAATGCACAAAAAGTTGGGCAACACTTTGAGTGATGAGAACATATATGAGTACAAGGAGGTTAAAAGAAAATCTAAGATAGCCGTAAAGAAAGCAAGAAAGAAAGTGAACAACGAGTTGTATGTAAAATTAGACTCTAATGAAGGAGATAAAAATATCTACAGACTTGTTCGTCTTTCGTGATCGCATGACTCAAGATATCAGAGAAGTTAAGTGTGTGAAGAATGTCGATAAAAGAATATTAATGAGGGATGATGAAATAAAAAAGAGGTGGATGTCATACTTTGATAACTTGTTCAACTGGAAATATTAAGGTATTAATGATCTTACTATGCCAGATTCTATGGTAAATCAGAATTTTGTAAGAAAGATCCAAACTACAGAAGTTATAGCGGCTCTGAGAAAGATGGATCGGAAGAAAGCAGGGGGGCCAGATGGCATACCAATCTAGGGCTCGAGGAGTGTGAGAGAGAAAGGCATCGAGTGGCTAACACGTTTCTTTAACATGTTTTAGAGAAATAACAAAATGCAGTGAGTTGGCGGAAGAGTACTCTCATATCTTATTTGAAAATAAGGGTGATGTACAAGAATGTGCCAACTATGGAGGGAATAAGCTTAGGGGTTAGGTCATAAATATTAGTAAAAAATTAGTTATAGACAAAAAAGTGAACTTTCTCTTTAATTTCCAAAAGTGTGACTAATAAGCATTACACTTACTAAATTACCCCTAACTTTAGTGACTTTACCTAACAGTGACCTAGTCCGCCAAAGTGACCTAAAATACAGTGACCTCTACAATAGTGACCTCCGTCGGCCACCGCCGCCGACCACCGCGACAATGACCAATCTTATAGTGACTTTCGTCCAGTGACCAATTAATATAGTGACAATCGTTACAATTATTCGATCCGCCCAATTACAGTTACCCCGTTCATTTACAGACTTACAGTTACATCACCTAGGCAGTTATAATTATATAATTACATGACCTATTTAGTTACAGTTACATGAACCGTTCAGTTACGGTTACAATTAGAGTTATCCGGTTCGACTATTTAAGATTACTCGGGTCTAATAATAATTAATTAGTTAATTACACCTGACCACCACCTTCTGCCACGCCGGCGACCACCGCCACCATTGGCGGCCGCTACTGCCGGCGACACCCACGTTCGGCCACCGCTGGCAACACCCACGTTCGGCCACCGCCAGCAACCACCACCGCCAACACCCCCCCCCCCCTTGATACCCCAGCCCCCTTCCCCTGTGACACCAAACCCTCTGCCCCTCTGGCACCACCCAGCCTCCATGCCCTCCCTTCTGCCCTACCCCCAAAATCACCCCCAGCCCCTCGGATGCCGCAACCCTACTCGAGACCGCCGGGCTCCGTCCCCAACACGGTAGATCTGGAAACGAGGACGTTGGAAACACGTTCGCGCCCCCAAATTTAGACAGAAATAGAAGAAAAGAAGAAGTTGAGGTCGACGACGACACAGGTGCAGGGCGTTGAAGAACAGATCTGAATGACATCGAAGAAAGGTTCTGGTTGTGCTCTGTTACCGGCATGAGGCCAGGACGACGGCAAAGGCTAGGGCAGACAGTTCAGCGTCGATTTGTGCGGCCTCGACGAGTCCGTCACAGATGCAGGGAGAAGCAGAAGGTGTCTGCTCGATGAGGTTGTCGTGGATGAGAGCTTTGACGCATCGAACAAATGGGGAGGGATACTTCAGTTAGGGTTCCAGGGCATTTAAGTCAATTCAAATCATTTTCAATCACTTTTTTGTCCATACGGAATTTAGGCTTATTTCTGTCTTTGCATAACGTGAGGGTCTCATTTTTGTCATTCTTTCATAAGCTTATGAGTCACACCACGAAACTTTGGGAGTATTTGAGCAAAGACTGAAAAAATGTTAAATTTTCGGAGAATCAGTTTGGTTTTATGCCGAAAGTTCAACACTTTGGATCATTCACCTTTTTAGACAAATTGTGGAGAAGTATAAAGAAACTAAAATTTATTAAGTTTGGGCTGAAGTGACTAGATTGGTTGATTTTGTTGATTTGTGAAAAAAATTATCTTTAAGTATTACCTCCGTCCCAATTTGATGGTACCTTTGCGGTTTACGATGTTTGATTGACGATAAAGCAAACGGACCCTTGTCCGCACTCAAATGTTTTTTTGAAAAAATAATTACATATTCAGAAACTACATTAAAATCTTTACGAAGTCGCAAAAACTAGAATCAAATTTGAAAAAAATTTGATATTTGATATATAAAGTAAGAGATTAAGAGTGATTTGTGTTGACCGAGTGAATAAGAACTGGTACCATCAAATTGGGACGGAGGTAGTATATATTATTAATAAAATAAAGAAAAAATTATCTGAAAAATAGCTAAAATAATCCTCTACAGTAACTTCATCCTATACAACCAGAAAAGTAACTTCAACCTTGTTTTTTCTTATTATATCACAATTCAGCGCCCGAAATCAGAGATCACGTGTTTGGTGAAAAAATTGGCTCATAAGCCTGATATGCCAAAAAAACAGGATTATCAAATGGACTCTAAAAAGGATCTGCATTTGGTGCTCATTGACTTAGAAAAGTCATGTGATAAGGTACCTCGATAAGTCCTTTGGTGAATTTTAACTAGAGAAGACAAATCACATAAGTATATAAGTATCATCATGGATCTCTATGAGAATTTTACTACAAATGTCCCTACTAGTGTAGGGAGGGCAACAGAGTTCCCTATTACTATTGGAGTGCACAAAGGATCGGCTCTGAGTTCTTTTTTAGTCATGGATTAACTTACAAAGTCAGTTCAAGAAGATATAACGTGGTGTATGATGTATGCTGACGATATTGTATTGATTGATGAGACACCACAATCTTTTAAAGAAAAGGCTTGATTGTTGTTGGTAGTATTTTCCATGCATGAGAGTAATTACTCACATTTAAGGAAAAAACATGGTGCTTATTTTTTGAAATTTCACAATGTTTTTACTTTTATTTAGAAAAATTTCTTTAAGAATAAATAAGATGGCAATCAAATAAAAACATATTTATCTTGAAACGACTAAACTATAAAGTTTACATAGTATGAGTGGTTACAACACGGGCTTGACAACTAATGATTTAGCTCATAATAATTGGAGTGACAATTAACTTTGAAATGTTGCCAATGTAAGGCACACACTATATAATTAAAGGAAAACGAACTCTTATCTTTGTTGATACTAGCGGTGAGGTAAAGTATAGAAAGAGTAGTATACTGTAGTAGTGTTATGGTTTCATATTCTTATTACATTCATGGTTTAGGTATCAACGGTCAAAATTCCTATAGACTGGACAAATATTTCAACACGCCCCCTCAGCACAAATCAAACTAAACAATATCGAGGTGTAAAAATGAGCGAGCCGACCCTTAACAAGCCACCTGTAATCATGGATCTAGAACAAAAAGTCAAATTACACTTAGACCTAGCTCTGATACTATGGTAAGATTGAGATATCTATCCTAAAAGGTCAACCTGGTAGGAAGAAGAGCTCAAGATTTTTTAAGTGTTCTATTGTTTTTACCAAACGAGTATGGGATAAAGGTTTCACGTCCCCTTAGCCCAAAATGAACTACACAACATTGAGGAGTATAATTGTCAGGCCGGATAACATCAAGATGTATAAATAGTCTAAATAGACTCTTAACGAGCTACCTTAAGTTATGAGTGTTAAACAATACCCAAATAACAATCGGATTTTACTCTGATATTATATAAGACTTGGGGTTTCATTCTGGAAGATTAACCTGATACGAGAAGTAGTATTTTATTATATTATAGCAATCCGGTGTGAGTCTATTATATGTCTATCCATAAAAGTAATATTGTTAAAATATTTGTTCCACACCGGAAAGATATAAAATAATAAAACACTATATAAGGCTTTGGGCTACTCCTATAAGGTTGACCTTTTAGGATGGAATCTCGGGTCTTAGCATGGTATCAGAGTCAATTCCGGTTGTGGTTTGATTGCTTGTTTAACATCCATGGTTACGGGTAGTTTGTTAAGGGTCTGTTTGGCCTATTTATACATCCCGATATTGTCCAACCCGGTTCGGGCTGAGGGGGCGTGCTAAAGTATTTGTCCCACACCGGAAAGCTATAAAACAATAAAACACTATATAAGGCTTTGAGCTACTCCTCCTATAAGGTTGACCTTTTAGGATGGAACCCCGTGTCTTAACAAATACTAATATACCATGTTACTCAACATTATGAACTCTTTTCCTCCCAAAATGGATTCCTCCTATCGACAATCACTTGTGTCCGCAGTCCATACAATTGAATCAATCGATTTTTTATTATGTTCTTTTAAATCTTTTTTTATTATGTTCTTTTAAATCTCTTCAGGGCATTGAGAGCTTTGAGAGAGATTTAGATACATTACATCCTATTTTGGCTGAATGTCGTGTTATAAAGTCTACTTTGGAGCTTGCTCTCATCCAATTTGCCAATGATATAAGCTCAGAAGCTCATGTTGAGGTCAAACTAACACTTATATGAAATTGGTGTCCTGGTTTCAGCTATTATGTTTTCTTTATGTTAAACCAAATAAGTTAAGCGGTGTTTGCATTTGCTTGCAGGTTATGCGAAGTATAAAAGTGGGTATGAAAGAATACCAGTTAGAGAGCATGTTTCTTCATCATACCTATTTTTTTGGTGGATGTAGGCATTGTTCGTACACATGTATATGTGCTACAGGTGAAAATGGGTGAGTTTTTTCAACTAGCATTTATACTCACTTCTGTGAGTGTGTATGTGGAAGGTAATTTTAGAAATTACTACTATACCTCTAAGATTGGGACTGGTGCAGTTATTAAGAAAAGAGTTACGTGGTTGATATTTGACCGTGAACAAAGTAAGAAAGAATTAGAACCACATACATATTACTCCCTTCGTCCCGGAAAAGTAAGCCAATGTTGACCGGCACAACAAATGAGGAGATCAAATATTATGCTTTGAATGGACCGTTTTGCCCTTCCAAATGCCGGAACGTAAAACTAAAATTAGAAAGTACATACCATATTAAAAGGTGTGACAACCCACTATTCACAAAGCATACTCCATAATTTTCTAAAGTACACCGTTCCATCATAGGTGGGAGCCTTTGCGGCACTGGGGTGATGATGATGATGAGGACACCGTTCCATCATACTACATGTTTACAACTTGGACAAGTTAGAGGCGAAAACAGAGTGATGAAATTTAATTGAGATATTACTCCGTCATAGAAGTACTTAAAATAGAGGAGAAGCAGATAATACAAATCCTAGAGTTTCGATTCCAACTTGGAATTCCAAATCCTAGATTTTCATGTTTTTGCATTCCCATAGCCAATTTGAAGTGGCTGGTAGCACCAACCTTCCGTTAAAATATAGCCTGCCCTCAATTATTTCGAACCCTGCCTAGCTGTCCGGGTCAGTCTTCAAGGCAGTCACAATGCTTTGAATAAACTCATCACGCCTTTGTTCCTCCAACACCTCCCGCATCCCTCCCAATACGGCACACTCAGCTTTTGACCTCCCGATGGCACTACGTAAAGGTACACGGTCTTGTACTCATCCTATTTCTTAATTTGTGTCGTACAATCAGTTATCCCCCGCCTCATGTTCTTTTATTGCTTCCATTGATTCTATTTCTGTTCCCAAATCTGTCAAAGAAGCTTTGTCTCATCCTGAATGGCGTCATGCCATGGTAGAGAAAATGAATGCTTTAAATCTAAATGGTACTTGGGATTTGGTTGACTTGCCTATAGGGAAGAAATCTATTGGATGTAAGTGGGCCTTTGCTGTTAAGGTTAACCCAGACGGATCTGTTGCGAAGGGTTATAGCTCAAACCTATGGTGTTGATTATTTTGACACTTTTTCTCCTGTTGCTAAATTAACATCTGTCAGGTTACTTATTTCACTAGCTGCAACTCATGATTGGCACTTGCATCAGTTGGACATTAAAAATGCATTCTTGCATGGTGACCTTCAGGAAGAAGTTTATATTGAGCAACCTCTGGGATTTGTTGCTCAGGGGAGTATGGTAAGGTTTGTCAACTTCACAAGTCTCTGTATGGTCTGAAACAAAGTCCTCGTGCATGGTTTGGGAAATTCAGTCAATCAATTGAACAATTTGGAATGATAAAAGGCAAATCAGATCACTCTGTCTTTTACAGACAAACGAAAGCAGGTATCACATTCCTTGTGGTGTATGTCGATGATATTGTGATTACAGGAAGTGATAATGCAGGTATTTTGGCCCTTAAGAATTTTCTGCACAGTCAATTCCGGATGAAAGATCTTGGCTCATTGAAATACTTTTTGGGGATTGAGATAACAAGGAGTAAGAAAGGCATATTTCTATATCAACGTAAATATGTACTTGATTTACTAGCTTAGACAGGGAAATTAGGGACAACACCAAGTAATACCCCCATGATTCCCAATGTGCAACTCACTAACGAAGGCATTCCATTCGAAGATCCGGAAAGATATAGAATATTGGTTGGAAAGCTTAATTATCTTGCAGTTACCCGTCCGGATATTGCGTACTCAGTGAGTGAGTGTAGTGAGTCAATACATGTCATCTCCGACAGTTGATCATTGGAATGTTGTAGAGCATATATTATGTTACTTGAAGGGGACACCGGAACGAGGTATTATTTATCAAAATCATGATCACATGAGAATATAATGCTTTGCAGATGCTGATTGGGCTGGTTCTAAAGATGATAGGAGATCTACATCTGGCTATTGCGTCTTTGTTGGTGGTAATCTTGTCTCCTGGAAAAGTAAGAAGCAGAATGTGGTTTCTCGTTCTAGTGCTGAATCAGAACATCGTGCTATGGCACAATCTGAATGTGAGATCATATGGATAAACCATTTATTGAGTGAAATTGGATCGAAGACACCAATGCCTGCTAAAGTGTGGTGCGATAACCAAGTTGCTATACACATTGCCAACAATTCAGTGTTTCATGAGAGAACAAAACATATTGAGGTCGATTGTCATTTTATTCGAGAGAAGATACAAAAAGGATCTGAAAATAGAAATAACAATTCAATGAAATAAAGTAACAAAACCCAGCAATCAGCCCAGCCCATCTAGACTCGCTGGCGGCGACGGTAAACCAATAACGGGCGAGACCCGCCCTCCTGCAGCACTGGCCCACTTGTCTTGTGGTCCCTGGCAACCCAGTTATCTCGTGCTCCCTAACAGATACAATAGAGTCCCGAGTCGAACAAAACTTTTCATTAGTTGGGAATCCAATGTTTGTGGAACACGCAAAGTCCGAGAGCTCATTTTTCTGATTTTGCGATGTTGCGAGTGAAGATCAATTCTCTGCCGAAGAAGAATGCTCCAAAGAAGAACACACTCTGTATGATAGAAGAATACATGAGCGGTAAAGAAGGTGAGGTAACTCCATACAAAGAGAGCTCATTTTTCTGATTTTTTCCCTTCTTCTTTCCCCAGCATTTCCCTCAGGTTTTTTAAAGACTTGTTAAATAATAAAAGATATAAAAAGTAATCCTTCAACAAAAAACAATCAGAAACATCATGATACAAAGACAAGTGGAGGTGTGTTTGACTAAGGGTTGAAGAATGTTGGAGGCACGAATTCTGGTAATTGCAGTGTGTTCTCGTTTTTCATTTTAAGTGCTCCCTGAACCTTCTGTGGCTTCTTTCAGCAAGTGCCCACGGTGATTGTGGAATACTGTTTGCAATTGAAAAACAATTTGACCATCACTGCTTATATTATGTCTTGTGCTAGAAAAAATAATCGTTTAAATACTAGTGCATGCCATTGTGTGGACTATAGTGCTGCTGGTTTCAGTGGTTTGTTGCTCTCATTCGAACTTCGAAGGAAATTGCTTATTTCAATTTGGAAGATATATTACTCTCCTTATTCCCTAATTTCAAATTGCTCTGGTTCGAAGAAATATTAGAATTCAATTAGTGTTTTTCTAATTGAAACGTATGTGTTTAAAAAAATTTCAACTGGGGTAAAAAAAATTATTGAAAAAGATGAGTGTATAATCTGTTGGCCATGTAGCAGTTTTTTATTGGAATGACAAAAGGGCATAATTCTCGCATAAATTAATGCTCCATACTATCATTTGAAATTGTAGTATTAATGTGATTTTGAACACTCAAAATATAAGAGGTAGATCCGCCACTGATTGAACCTTTCCAAATGACCTTATCTGTTCTTTTCTGATTTTCTCTTTTCCCAGTTCTCTCTTACCACATTTATTCCCTATATTTTAGTTTGTTCTTCATTCATTATGCGAACGCATACACATGCTCATATATATATATATATATATATATATATATATATATAGGGCAAAGATCAGGTGAGAAGTGCCCCTTAAAATGAGAAGTGAGAACTAATCTCAGCCCTTAGATTTGCATCTGATCTTACAATGCAGTAAACTTATAGACTAAATATAGGAACTTATAACCAATAAATCATAACTTATAAAGCTCTCCATAATAATTACGAAAATGCCACCGCGTCAAAAAAATTTCCCGGTTTCTGTATTTATTTTTTGCGGTGGCATTTTCGTAATTATTTTCGAGGGATCTATAAGTTATGATTTATTGGTTAAAAGTTCCTATATTTAGTCTATAAGTTTAACTTCGCAGTTTTCAGCCTAAGAACACTTCTCACCTGATCCGCTCCCTATATATATATATATATATATATATATATATATATATATATATATATGAGGAACTCTTCCGGTAAGGTATACCTTACCGGAGCCGCCGTGCGGCCTCCACATTTTGAGGGCCTTCCCGGTGGAATTTTTTGATGAAATTTTTTGAGCATCTTCTTCATCAAGTCTAGTACATCCATACCAAATTTCAGCAAAAAATTCAACCGGGAAGGCATTCAAATGATTTTGGGAAGATAACTGCACCCTTTATATACATATAAAACGCAGTTATCTTCCAAAAATCGTTTGACTGCCTTACCGATTGATTTTTTTGCTGAAATTTGGTATGGATGTACTAGACATGATGAAGAACATGCTCAAAAAATTTCATCGAAAAATCCCACCGGGAAGGCCCTCAAAACGTGGAGGCCGCACGGCAGCTCCGGTAAGGTATACCTTACCGGAAGATTTTCCATATATATATATATATATATAGGGGAGGGTTGTAGTGAGAATACTACACCATTGATTTATGAAATCAAGGGTTAGCATTTACAAGGTGGCAATTTTGTAATAATTCTACAATAATTACACACAACACCCCATTTGAATTTTCATTAATTACACAAAGTACCCCATTTGCATCCTACCAATGATTGAATTAAATAAAAGGTTGGGATTAAAAGTTTTCATTATAACAAGTTCTCATTTTAAGATGAGTTCTCACTAGAACCCTCCCATATATATATATACATATATATATACATACACACACATATATATATAGGTAAAATCGCACTTTGAGTCCCTGAAATAGTCACCAAAATGAAATGTTAGATCCGTATTTTTGTGATTGTAAATGTCACCCCTCAATTGTCCAAATTGTTGTAAATGTGGTCCTTTAAGTGGTGAAATGTACTCTCTTCCACATTGTATACTTCACCCCTCAAAGGACCACATTTACAACATTTTGGACAATTGAGGGATTTGAGGGACGACATGTACAAACTTGGGAACACGGGTCTGACATTTCAATTTCGTGACTATTTCAGGGACTAAAAGTGCGATTTTCCCTATATATATACATATAGAGAAATGCTCAGGTCCATTCGGAGCGACGGGAGCCTCCATCCGAACTTCGACGTTTGGGGCGGTTCCCGGTAGATTTTTTTGATGAATTTTTTTGAGCATGTTCCTCATTAAGTCTAGATTATTCATACCAAATTTCAGCTCAAAATTCGATTGGGAAAGCAGTCAAATCATTTTTTGAAGTTGACTGCGCCAAAATATACATATAAAAACGCAGTCAAATTCAAAAAATGATTTGACTGCCTTCCCGATCGCATTTTGAGCTGAATTTGGTATGGATAAACTAGACTTGATGAGGAACATGCTCAAAAAATTTCATTAAACAATTCCACCGGGAACCGCCCCAAACGTCGAAGTTCGGACGGAGGCTCCTGTCCCTCCGGATGGACCTGAGCATTTCTCTATCGATATATATATATATACAGGATGAGGTTCAAATAAGAAGAAGCCCTTGGGTGAGAAATGAGAATGAATCCCAGTCGTTAGATTCGACTAAGTTGCAGTAAAAGACACTTCATGCTGCACTATAATATGCAATTTAGCACAGTGGCATTTTGGTAAATACTTCTTAAATTTCCGTATTACACTTGTCTAGTGCAACATGAAGCTGTTTTGGTGCAACGTCGTCAAATATTAGTGCATCATGAAACAGTTTTAGTGCAACATTCATCTTCATCATCATTTTCATTTGCCGCAAAGGCTCCCACCTACGGTGGGGTAAGGGGGGGTCGGATGTACGCATTTTTACCCCAATTTTAGTGCAACATTGCAAAATTTAAAGCTTACTGCAACATCAAGCCATTTTTAGTGCAACAACGTAAATCTAATGGCTGAGATTCATTCTCATTTCTCACATTAGATGCATTTCTCACTTGAACCAAAATCTATATATACATATATATATATATACACACACATATATATAGGGGAGAATTCAAATAAAAAGTGGTGCTCCCGTGCAAAGTGCGAAATTTGCACTTTTTCATGTTTCACTTTCACTTTTTCGTGTTTTCGTTGCACTTTTCGTCATTGTGATTTTGGCCAAATTCAGCCAAAACTACGGTGGCAGTTTTGTAAATAAACCAATTTTTTCGCTATCGCGAAAAAGTGCAACGAAAACAAGCAAAAGTGCAAGCAAAACATGAAAAAGTGCAAATTTCGCACTTTGCACCGGACACTACTTTTTATTTGAACTCTCCCATATATATATATATATATATATATATATATATATATATATATATATATATATATATATATATATATAATTATAAAAGAGATATCAGCTCACTTAGTCATTTAGGTAGCTGCGATGAAATAATACACACTTAGCTTCAAACATAGATATATTCTATTGCTCTGACCCACAAGCATTTGTGACACAACTGATTTACTCCATTATGTGTCTATGAAAACATGAAGTAAAGAGAGAGTAGAGCCGGAAGAAATAAGAAAAGGAAAGAAGGAAAGAGAAAAAAAGAAAAGAAAAAAATGGAAGAGGGACTATGGATTGATTGGGAAAAACACTCGGTTGCCAAAAAACATTACACCAACTTCTCCGATCAGCTACAATTCCTACAACTGCAGATGGGATTGACCGGCGGAACCTGACAAGTGGTAGGTCATCAGAAAAACGTAACAGGATTGCATGCCACAAGTAAACAACAACATTACCCCAGTGCCACAAAGGCTCCCTCCCACCTACAGTGGGGTAAGGGAGTCAGATGTTTCCGGATGACCCATGATGAAAATTGCATCGAAAACTGCATGGACTGACTGTTGCTTAATACTCCCTCCGTCCTGCTAAGATTGTCCCATTTTACATTTTCGGTCTGTCCCACTAAGATTGTCTCATACCAAATTTGGTAAAGTTTGTGTGGCTCTAAATCATTCTTACTTTATTATTACTTTATCAATTCAATATCAACCACATAAACCACTCTTTATTGATTTACGTGCCACTCCCTCTTGTGCCATTGTCAGTGGGACGAATGGAGTAATAAAGAAGCGCAAATAGTTTAGTGAGCTATTTTACTTTATTCCACCATATTCTCTACTAAAAAAATGGTGAGTCTTTGGCTCCAATGCAAATGATGAAAATAATGCAGGCCAAGTAAACATGAAGGAAAAAACAGGGGAAAATGAAGTTTTTTCCTGATCAGAAATAAGAGGGTAACAAGAGAACGGAGAAAAAAGAAAAGAAAAAGTAAAAACCATAATAGAAAGTAAAGAGAAAAGGGTAACGGAAAAAATGACACGTTATAACGTTAATGGTAACCTGTTACAGAAGGTTGCTTTCAGGTATTTTGATTGAATTGACTTATTTTTCGAGAACATGCATTTATTTGATACTTTTTTAATACGAGGACTTAAGTGATGAATTTAAAATAGTAGAAGGTCCCATTTGACACTTTTCCCTTATTTCTATATTATGTATTATTGTTTGTTTATTGGTAATAATAGGTATTGTTTAAAATCGTTTTCTCTTTAAAAAATTAATTTTCAATTATTTATTGCCATATTACAGTTCTGTTCTCCATTATGGTCATGCGGCAGCTCCAAATGACAAGGTATGCTGATCACTGTTCTCCTTGCCAGCTATTGCAAAAATCCGATCAAATGTCATAATTTTATTTAATTTAAACGACTTTGTTATGTTCTTCTTTAGCAGTTGGATTATGACTTGTTTATTTTTTACTGCTTGTGTTAGGCATCAACCTAATCAGTAGTTTTAAAATAAGGGGGTTAGGGGAGTTAAATAGCTTTTAAAGTGCCTATAGCTTATTTAGTTGTCTAATTAGTCCACAATGTTAGGCATCAGCCTAATCAGTAGTTTTAAAATAAGGGGGTTAGGGGAGTTAAATAGCTTTTAAAGTGCCTATAGCTTATTTAGTTGTCTAATTAGTCCCTGCGTGGACTTTTGCTATAAATAGAAGCTGGGGTAGCCATAATAGGCAGACTGTTATTTTGATGCTGAGTTATTGCCTTGTTGCCTTGAGAGTCCCGGTTGACTAAGAAGTCCCTGTAGCCTACGGTTTATCTCCTTCCATCAATAAACACTCTTTCCTTATCATTCTATCAGATCTGTGTGTTTGCTGGTTTACTGTTTACGCTCAGATTATACCAGGTTCCTAACATTGGTATCTGTGAACAAGTATGTTGTTGTATTTCATATACTTGATATTCAAGTGCTATACAAGAGGCTATATTTATAGCTATATTTAGAGTACTAGGTCTTCCTATACAAGATACTAGGGTTTCCTATACAAGATATACAAATGGGCTAAGCCCAATACTACTAGGGTTTTCACACTCCCCCTCAAGCTGGAGCATATAAATCATATGTACCAAGCTTGTTACAAATATATCCCACTCTAGGACCTCTAAGAGACTTAGTTAAAATATCTGCAAGTTGTTCAGTTGTGTTCACATATTTTGTGATGATATGTCCACTCGTGATCTTCTCTCGGATAAAATGACAATCAACTTCAATATGTTTCGTCCTCTCATGATATACCGGATTTGATGCAATGTGCATTGCAGCTTGATTATCACACATGAGTTGAGCCGATTTTGTGTTTCCATATTTTAACTCTTGGAGGAGATGCTTCAACCATAAGATTTCACATGTAGCAAGGGCCATTGCACGATATTCTGCTTCAGCACTAGATCTGGCAACCACATCCTGTTTCTTACTTTTCCATGAAATTAAGTTTCCACCAATCAAGATGCAATATCCTGATGTGGAACGTCTATCCATCGGACATCCGGCCCAGTCTGCATCACAGTATCCCAAAATATCGTGGTGGCCTCGATCTTCAAACAACAATCCTTGCCCTGGAGTTTTCTTGATGTATCTCAAAACTCGGATAGCTGCATCCCAATGTCCAGTACATGGCTTATCAAGAAACTGACTAAGAACACTTACCGCAAATGAAATATCTGGTCTCGTGATGGTAAGATAATTCAATTTGCCGATGAGTCTTTATACTTTTCCTTGTTGGGCAAATGATCTCCCTGTTCTGATAAGAACTTAACGTTCGGATCCATTGGTGTATCCACTGGCCTGCAATCTAGCAACCCCGTTTCCTCAAGAATATCCAAGGCATACTTTCTTTGTGAGAGAGCAATTCCATTTTTAGACTGTGCGACCTCAATGCCAAGGAAGTATCTTAACTTTCCCAAGTCTTTCGTTTGAAATTTGCTAAAGAGATGTTGCTTGAGGAGCACAATTCCTTGATCATCGCTACCTGTAATGACAATGTCATCAACATACACAACAAGATAAATACATTTGTTGTCAGCAGAATGTCTGTAGAATATAGAATGATCAACAGCACTGCGGATCATGCCAAAGCTGCAGATAACGGCACTAAACCTCCCAAACCATGCACGTGGAGATTGCTTCAAGCCATACAATGAACGACGTAATCTGCACACCATACCAAACTCCCCCTGAGCAACAAATCCAGGTGGTTGCTCCATATAAACTTCCTCATGTAGATCTCCGTGAAGGAATGCGTTTTTGATATCCAATTGAAACAATGGCCAGCGGCTCATTGCTGCCATGGATAAAATCAAACGAACTGATGCAATCTTCGCTACAGGAGAAAAAGTGTCAGTGTAATCCAAACCATATATCTGAGTATACCCTTTCGCCACAAGGCGTGCTTTAAAACGATCAATCTCCCCATCAGGCCCAACTTTAACGGTGTAAATCCACCGACATCCCACCACTGATTTGCCAGCAGGAAGGGGGACTAAGTCCCACGTCCCACTAGAATGAAGAGCCTCCATCTCAGCCAACATGGCTTTACGCCACTCCGGGTGTGCCAGTGCCTCATGTGTGGTTTTAGGAATGGATATATGAGACAAGTGGGAAATAAAAGCATAGTACGGGGTAGAGAGGCGGTGATAACTCAAAAAGTTATATATGGGATGTGGATTCAGTGTAGAACGCGTACCTTTTCGGAGGGCAATGGGCAAATCATCCAGAGTGTTTTCAGGCGGTGCGGTAGTTGATGGTGATGATGCATGAACCGTCGTAGGGGAATCAACTGGCGTGGCCACGATAGGCTCAATGGCAGGAGGTCGAGGACGGCGATGGTATACCTGTAATGGAGGAGGGTCTACCACAGGAGGGCAGTGGGGGTGCTCATCAGATGGAGGGGAAAGAACAGTTTCTGTATGGATGGGCCGAAGATATGAGATGAAGTCCAAACATGATGGAGTATCAACAGAAGATAATGGGTAATAAAAGGAGGACTCCATAAAAGTGACGTCAGCCGAAATAAAATGCTTTTTAAGGAATGGAGAATAACAACGATAACCCTTTTGGACTCGTGAATATCCAAGAAAAATGCATTTTATTGACCTAGCTGACATTTTAGATAATCCAGGTGTAAAATCATGGACAAAACACACACACCCAAACACATGAGGTGGTAATGGAAATAACTCACGACTAGGAAACAAGACAGAATATGGAATCTCATTATCAATAACTGAGGAAGGCATTCTATTTATTAAATAACACACAGTGAGTACAGCGTCTGCCCAATACTGAGGTGGTGTATGTGAATGTAATAACAGAGTACGGGCAGTATCAACTAAGTGTCTATTCTTGCGTTCAGCTACCCCATTTTGCTGAGGCGTGTGTACACAAGAAGACTGGTGAAGCATACCCCGTGATGTCATGAATTCATTAAAGGGTGTCGCAAAAAATTCTTTAGCATTATCACTGCGTAAAACTTTGATAGAATGACCAAACTGAGTGTGGATTTCAGAACAAAAAGTTTGAAAAATATGGAATAATTCAAAACGTTCTTTCATTAAAAACAACCATGTGTAACGGGAAAAGTCGTCCACAAAAATAACAAAATAGCGAAATCCTAAAGTAGAAGTGACTCGATACGGACCCCATACATCTGTATGAACTAAATCAAAAGGGGACGCAGCCCGTTTATTAACACGCCTTGGAAAGGATTTACGAGGTTGCTTTCCAAGGTGACATGACTCACAATCTAAAGACGAAAGACTCGAGAAACCTGGAACCATACGTCGAAACTTTGAGAGGCTAGGATGACCCAAACGGTTATGTAACGTTAATGCAGGTTCAACGGAGACACAAGCAATTGGATCAACAGGATGAAGATGATACAAGCCTTGAGATTCATGCCCGACGCCAATCGTCTTCCCCGAACGACGGTCCTGCACAGTTACAGAATCAGCAAAAAAGGTTATAGAACAATCAAGAGCACGCGTAATTTTACTAACAGAGACAAGGTTAAAGGGGCTATTAGGAACATATAAGACTGAATGTAATGGTAAGGATGAAAGTGGTAGTGCTTGCCCAATACCCGTGGCTGAAGTTTGATGGCCATTAGCCAAAGTAATTAAAGGAAGGTGTTGGTGTTTGGTAATATGGGATAAAAGATGGGGATTACCAGAAATATGGTCTGAAGCACCTGAGTCAATGATCCATGAGCCTGTGGTGTTTGAAACACAAGCGGTAGACGTACCAGGTGCAGATAAGGGCACATTAGCAGACTTAAATTTCTGATAGGCGGCATATTCGTCTGGAGGTAGAACAATCGGAGATGGCGGAATCTGAGCAACAGTGGCTGAGCTAGGAGGTCTCCCATGTAACTTCCAACACCTATCTTTAGTATGACCAATCTTATGACAGTAGTCACACTTAGGTCGGCTTCGACGCAAATATCCTTTGTTGTTTCCTCCGTTGGGCCCCACAACTGGTGATGCAAGAATGGTAGAATCAGTAGAACCCAATTCAGCAGATATCGGGGCCGCACGAAGAATTTGAGAAAAAGCGTCTGTCATAGTTGGAACAGTAGAACTAGAGAGAATTTGTTCACGTATAGATAATAGCTCTGGGCGAAGACCTGCCAAAGCTAAAACCATAACAAGTTGTTGTCGTTGTTCTAGTTGTTTCTCTATATCTTCCGTGATAGGTTGAATGGTATTATACTCAAAGAGTAAAGCCTCAGCCCGGCCTAGAAAATCCTGGATGTCCAATTCTTGTTGCTTGAGATTGGCAATTTTGGATCCAAAGGAAAACAGACTTTGAATATCATTAGTGTAATTAGACTTGGCTTTCTCCCAAATCTGTGTACACGTCCGATATGATTGATATGTAAGATGAAGTTTGGAGTCCATGGATTGCCACAAAACATTGCACAACAGTGCATCCATATTCTCCCATTCCGTTTTCTTATCCTTGATTGAATTGGCATCTGTAAGCAAGTGATCAATTTGTCCTTGACCTTTGAACCACATCTCCACAGAAATAGCCCATGATTGATAATTAGCACTTCCAACCAAACGATCCGTTGTAATAATAGGAACTGAAGCAAATGAAGAAAAACCAGAAGACATTTTTTTTTTCTGTTTTTTTTTTCTGTTTCTTTTTTCTGTTTTTTTTTTTTTTTTTTACAAATAAAATATCAGGGCAGATGAGTAAGGTGACTAATCTGCTCACAAACGTATGCACAGCAAGTTTAAAATTAAAATGACAAATAGATATGAAAGAAATACTACCGTGACCTAAGCA